AGCTCTCTGACTGGACGTAGTTCCTCACCAAAGATAGCCAATGTGTCTGTCTGTCTGTGTCTCTCCACTTCTGTCTTTGCCTGTGCCCTTAGAAGATCCTTGTAACTATGGCAGGGCTGGAACTGTGAGTCAAGACCCGTCAGTGGAGGCTGGAGCCTATTATAGGCTATTTGTGGACGTGGGGACCAGGCAGCTCACAGGGCATGCCAGTTCTAGGAGCATTTTTTTTTAACCCCAATGAAGCAGGTCTAATCCAAATGTTATCTCTCAGGATTTGTCTGTTTTGTGGTGAAATCTGTGGATTATATCAATGCCAGGATTCTGATTTATTTGGGACTATGGGGGTCCAGCCCCTCGATAGTCCCCTCCCGGGGCCCGGGAAGAATCTACAACCAGCTGATAATTAATCTTTGATGAAAAGAAATGAACTCATTAGTCCATACACTTTATTATTCTGAGTTAGTTCTCTCTCTACACAGCTTCTATTCTGCTCTCATGCCTAGCTCCTCTCTTGCCTGATTCTCTCTACATTAATCTGCGGTCCCCTGTAAGTCCTATCTAACTCCTTCATCTTAGTTCCGCCCCATCTAGGTTCTCATCCATCTAGTTCTTTCCCATCTCAGCTCCTCTCCCATCTCCTTCTCTCTCATCTTGTTCTTTCCCATCTGGCTCTTCCTCATCTTCCGTCTCATTCCTCTAGTACTCTCTTCTAGCCCTTCAATCTAGTTCTTCCCCATCTCAGTTTGTTCCTCTCGAGTTCTTACCCGTCTAGTTCTTCCATTCTCTTTTCTCTTCTCTGTATTCTTATTCTCTCAGCTCTAAGTCTCTCAGGGATCCAGTTATAAACCCAAGCAATAGCAATCCCCTGGTCGAGCCAGGCCACCAGGCTTGAATTCTACGGGGTCATAAAGGCAGGTAAGAATTTTCCTCAGGCAGTGACCACCAGGCTTTCTTTTACAATCCAAAATGGGAGTGATAAAAGAGGAGGTCACCTGAGTGCTAATGACTGGTTAGTATATCATAAAGGGGATCTACGTGCTCAGTCTACATTCCTAGAAGTGGTTAGGTAAGAAGTTAGGAGTCTATAAAGTTAGTAAGGCTGTAAGAAAAGAGGGTCTGAGCTAAATTGTGTAAAGCTAGGTCCACCTGACCTAGTCGGTGTCTTCTTGTGGAATTTACCTTAAATCAGGAGACTAGTATGTGGTGGTTTGGACTGTTACTTCTGTTAGTCCTTGAACGTGGCTAAGGGAGATATCTGATTCCAGTGCTGAAAGGGGAGAAACAGATGGGCCTGAGGGAAGGAAGCCTTTCCTGAGGCTGTTCTCCAAATACCTGGAATGTGTATGTCCTGAGAGTGATCAGTCCACACTGTTAGCACTTCTTGGGAAAACTATGAAGGCACACATGATTTTCATAACAGAAGACAGCTGATATATAACAAGCCAAATAACACCAAAAGCTCCTTGGAATTTGCCTTCCTCTGAAGGAATTCCCTGATCCCTTCAGGTAGTGACTTTACCATAACCAGCTGAGTTCTTATGATATTTTCCTGCGGCCTGTAGCACTGATTACATCTGGCTATGCTTTTCCAAGGTACTGAAGGAAACGAGTGGAAATGTCCATACGCCTGCACTGTTCATTCTCTAGAGGCTACATATACATGTGTGTATATATATACACATATGTATATATATATACATATATATATATATATATATATATATATATATATATATATATATATATAATTATGTATAGTGTTCTGTCTGCATGTTTGCCTGCAGGCCAGAAGAGGGCACCAGATCTCATTATAGATGGTTGTGAACCACCTTGTGGTTGCTTGGAATTGAACTCAGGACCTCTGGGAGAGAGGCCAGTGCTCTTAACTGAGCCATTTCTCCAACCTCAGAGGCTACCTTTTAAAAATTACATTTACTTGAGGCTGCAGAGGTGGTTCAGAGGTTAAGAGCACTGGCTGTTCTTCCAAAGGACCCGGGTTCAATAACCAGCATCCACATGGCAGCTTACAACTGAACATAACTCCAGTTCCAGGGAACCTGACACCTTCACACAGCCATACACGTAGGCAAAAAACCACCAATGCACTAAAAATAAACCAATTTTAAAAAGTACACTTATTCATTTATTTGTGTGTGAAGGGGTGGTGCGTGCACACCATAGTGCTTACATGAGGTCAGAGGACAACTTGGAGTTCTCTCCTTCTGTCATCAGGCTCTAGGACTCCAACTCGGGTTGTCAGGCTTGGCAGCAAGAGCTTTTATCTCCTGAGCCATTTCAGATGGCCCTGAACTCTGGATCCTCCTGCCTCTTCCTCCTGAGTGCTGGGGTGACAGCGGAGTGCCACTATGCCTTGTAAACCTGTAATTACTTTCCAAAAAAATTCCAAAAAAAATTCATTTTAAAACAATGTGCTTCACAGTTCTTGGGAGGCAGAAGCAAAAGGATTGCTTCTTCAAGGCCAGCCTGACCTACAGAGTGAGTTCCAGGCCAGCTAGGGTTACACAGTGACCTTGTCTCACCACCCCCAAATTAAAACCAACCAAAAACCTCCTGTAATCCCAGTACTCAGAAGGTTGAGGCAGGAGGGTTGCCACAAGTTTAAGGCCAGTCTGGACTACAATATTGAGACTCTGTTTTAAGAAACAATAAAAATCTTCTTTTGGGGCTGAGGAGATGTTTTAGTGGGTAAAAACATTTGCTTTGTATGGGGATTGGAGCTTGGTTATCAGAAACCAACCTAAAATCTGGGTGTGTCATATCAGCTTGCTTGTAAATCCCAGCACAAGGGAGGCAGAGACAGAGAACACCTGCAGTAAACTGCTTTAGTCAAAATAGCTGATACTGTACACCTCAGATTCGGCAAGATACCTGCTCCAGTACTTAGTACATAAGATGGAGAGCGATCGTGGAAACCAACAGATGTCAACAGCTGGCCTTCACACAAATGAGCACACATGTACCCAAACACATTTGGTATGACACCCATGTACGACACACACACATACATATGCAAAAAAAACCACCATTTTTGATACAAAAGTCTCACTATGTAGCCTTCTCTGGCCTGGAAACTCTGAGTAGACCAGGCTGCCCTTGAACTCAGGAGAAATCCACCTGTCTCTGTTTCCAAGTGCTGGGATTAAAGGAATATGCCACCACAATCAGGAGAGAGAGAGAGAAAGAGAGAGAGAGAGAGAGAGAGAGAGAGAGAGAGAGAGAGAGAGAAAGAAACTTCTTCCAGGGACTAGACAGCAACTTCAGTTGTAGAGCTGCTTAACATACTGAATGCCCTAGATTTGATCTCTAGCATGGCCAAATAATATTAATAAATTAGCCAGGCACTGGTGGCACATGCCTTTAATCTGGCAAAGCTCTGTGAGTTCAAGGCTAGCCTCATTTGCAACGCCAGTTTCAGGACAGCCAGAGCTGTTACACAGAGAAACCCTGTGTCGAAAAAACAATAATAATAATAATAATTTGGTATCTCCTTTTCAACATCCTTTCCACTCTGCTGGCTACCCCGAAATCCAGGCATTTATTACCTTCCTGGAGGATTTTTGCAAGGACTTCCGGTTGGCTTTTTTTTAAACCCAAGATGCCCTGGAACTCTCTATGTAGTCTAAGAAGACCTTGAATTTCTGATCTTCCTGCCTCCAGTTCCCAAGTGTGGGATTACAGGCTCATGGGTGCTGAAGAACTCAGCTCCCTCCAAGCTCGGGAAACACCCTACCAACGGAGCTACATCCCCAACTCCAGCCTATTTTATGTTTTGGTTTTGTTGTTGTTTCTGTTTTCAGCGGTGGGGATCGAACCCAGGGCCTGTACAAGCTAGGCAAGTGCTCTACCATTAAGCTTATCGCCCTGGCTCGCTTTCTAACTTCAGTATTAGCACAAAATACTTCAATTATAGATTTTTGCTCCGTGCCCTCCTATGATAACCAGCGTGCTGGAATGAAGCCAGCACTCAGAGGTCTCCAGATCTTTCCAACCTTACTAGCCGTTTCTTTTTCTAATGCTCACGCCTTTGCCTCTCCACAACAACCCTTGCTGTTCAGGTCTTTGCGGGGCTGCATCACACCAAGGGTGGGGCATTTCTCTTCCCCAGCAGCAGCACAGGTAAAGTGGGAATAAGAACCTCTGCCCTGTCCCGTGGAAGGATACAGTGTGGCGATGCTGCAATAAAGCTTTTAATAAACGATCAAGAGGAATGAGAACACACCCGGCAGACGCAGCTTCAATCAAAGCCGTTCTTAACCCTCAGGCCCCGCCCCTCAAAAACCGTCCAATAGCCAGGCCTTGCCTCTTCATGTCAATCGCTAAGCCCCGCCTCCCAGAGCCGGAAGGCCCTGCCCCTTCAGGCGCCGCAGAGTCCAGGCCCCGCCCCTCAGGGCACGTGAAGCTGTTCACTCAAACCGGCGAGGTCCCGCCCCCAGGGCGCACGAGCCGCTCAGCCCCGCCCCTCAAGGCGTACCAACGGCCAGCTCGTACTCCTCATACTCCTCAAGGCAGTTATTATTCCCCAAAACACTAAAACGGTCTATACCGGCTCCTCAAGACGCTTCAAAGGCCGAGCTCCGCCCTACATTATGTGTAATTAGGCCGGGTCCGTCGGAAGCGCGCCAACGGACAGGCCCCGCCCCTTGAGAAACTCAAACCACCAGGCTCCGCCCCACAGGACACTCCAACGGCCGGGCCCAGCCCCTCAAGCAGCACAAGAGGCCAGGCTCCGCCCTACCGAACGCTCCAACCGCCCGGCCCCGCCCCCCAGAACCGGCTAACGACCCGGCCCCGCCCTCGAGGCGCCCCAGCGGCCAAAGCTCCGCCCCGCCGAGCGCTCCAACCGCCCAGGCCCCGTCTCATAGGACACGGCAGCGGTTAGGCCCCGCCTCCCGAGGCACGCTTAGGACCAGGCCACGCCCCCAAAGGGCCCCACACCGGCCAGTCCCGCCCCTCGAGGCGCGCCAACTGTCCTCCCCCGCCCCTCGTGCGCCGAGACGTGAGGACGCCGGCGTCGTAGGCTGAGGTGGCAGCGGTCCTGCAGACATGGAGCTGCCGCAGATGCCGGAGCTGGTGGGGCTGTCCCTGCTGGTGGGGCTGCTGGCCCTAGTGGCCACGGTGGCGGTGGCCCGGGGCTGGCTGCGGGCCGAGGAGGACAAAGCCAGCCAGCCCGTCCGTAAGTATCCCGGACCTGGTAGCGGTAACTCCATGAGGACTTTGCTCCCGGCCGCCGCGTGGTCTCAGGAAGCCTAGAGACTCACGAACCTCTGTTTCCCCGGTTGTGAGATGAGCCTCCCGTGCAGACATCGGGTTGCATGTTCGGCACTGATTACATCTCAAGGGCAGGACTCTGGGTGCTAGGCTCCTAGGTTGTAGGTGACTTTTCCTGGGACAGCACCTCCTCTCCCACTCCACCCCCCACCCCTTGTCCCTGACCTCGGGGCTGCTACGAAAACTCAGTTAACTCCCCAAGTTTCCTGTTGGAAAATGGGGGTCATTTGAAAATACTCTTCGGCCAACTCTGACGGGCAGGAACGTTCACTGAACCACTCTTACCTATTGATAGTCTTTTTAATTTGTTCAGTAAATGAGACAGATGTAAAAGTGCCTGTCTACACTGGCTACATGGCTTCTCTTGAGCTTTCTCATCAATGTAGAAATGCTTTTGTAACTTGGTTATACTATCTCATTCAATGCTTGACCTTTGTTTTTTTGGTTGTTTTGTTGTTTGGTGTTGTTTTTGAGAAAGGAAAGTTCAGGTTGGCCTTAAACTCACTATGTAGCCAAGTCTGATTTTCAACTCCTACTCTTCCTGCCTCCACCGCCTGAGTGCTAGAATTATAGGCATATACCACCAAGTCTGGTTTCAGTATCTTTTTAAGGAAACCAAGACTTGAAGCGGTTAAATAACTTATCCAAGACCAGATCCTTCCGTTTTCCTTGTGTGTTGGTCCCTAGGTTGTCATGCATGCATGCCTACAATCCACACTACACTGGCCAAGCCGGGAACCCACCCAGCTGTGTCAACTCATAGAGAGGTGCTGTACGGACTCAGCAGCCTCTGCAAGATCACTCTGAGGGCTGGGGATGTAGAGTGTGTACCCTTAGCATGCATGGGGCTGTACTTTCAGTCCTCGGTGTGGCTTTAAAAACAGAAGAAAAGATCACTCAGTGATAAAGACCAAATCCAACTCAAGTCTGATTTCTAAGCCTTTAAAAAAAAAGCTTAAACATTTTTTAAAATTGTGTGTGTGTCTATTGGTTTGTCCACGTTTATGCAAGTATCCTTGGAGACCAAAGGTGCCATAGTCTCTGGAACTAGAGTTATAGTTGGTTGTGAGTCACCTGATTTGAGTACCAGGATTTGGTTCTCTGAAAGAGCAATATATGCTTTTAACTACTAAGCCATCTCTCCAGCCCCCCCCCCCTTTTTGTTTGAAGTTGAGGCCTTGCATATTCTAGGCAAGCCCTCTACCATTAAGGTATAATCCTAGCCTCCACCCCCTTTTTAAAGGAACATGTGGGTGGATGGACATACATCTTGTACACATGAAGATCAGAAAACAACTTTGTGTATCATTAGGAACACTAGTTGCTTCCATTGAGACAGGGTCTCATATTGACCTGGAGCTCATGATTAGGTCAAGCTGGTTGGCCAGAGAGCCCTGGAGACCTTCCTGAATTCCACCTCCTGAGTTCTGAGACTACATGGCATTTTTATGTGGGTTCTGGGTGTCCTCACACTTGAAAAGCAAGCACTTTACCTACTGAAGCATCCCCCCAGACCCCCCAAGCATCTTTTTGTACACATCACTTTCTCTCCTCAAGGACAAAGGCCCTATCTGGCTCGTGTCTTGGTGCTCCACCCAGAGCCTAGGCAGTCCTAGGTACTTGGGAGATGCTTCTGAGTGAGTGTATGGATAAATGACATGACTCTTCCTTCTAGGCCAAGAAGCAAACGAATCCAAGAAGTCAGGATCCAAGAAGCAGAAACATAACCATCGGGTTCGTAAGGAGAAGCCTCAGCAACACAACTTTACCCACCGCCTTCTGGCCGCAGCATTGAAGGTACTTGGTACTCCTGGGTACTGAACACGTGCAGCATGAAGACCCACACCCCCACAGACTTTGTCCTTTGTAGTAATCTGCATATTACATATACCTCTAACTTATCAGGAGAGTAGGCATACCCCATTCTGGCCCTTCTGCTCCCTCCTTCCCTTATAGTACTGAGATTGAATCCAGGCCCTTGTGCATGTTAGATGAGCACTCTACCACCAAGTTGCATCTCCAGTCCTTAATTGGCAGATTCTACATAAGTGCTCTGCAGCTGAGCACCTTACTGGGGGATTCTAGGCAGTCACTGTACTGGTGAGCTACAATCCTAGCCTACTTTCTACTTTTTATTTATTTTTGTCTGCTCTTAATTTTGAGATAGTTTCACTAAATTGATTGGGCTGGCTTGAGACTTTCTCTGTAGCCCAGACAGGCCTTGAACTTGAGATCCTACTGCTCCGGCCTCTTGAGGAGTAGCTGGGATTATAGAACTGAACTACCAGGGCTAGCTTATCCTCTTTTATCCTCGGCTTGTTGGTCACTCAGGCGCCAGGGCCACAGAGTGGCAGCCCTAGCTAGGTTCATCCTCCTGTCCACTGGAGAAGGTCTCATTTATACTTCCTGCATTCTTTTTCCTAGAGCCATAGTGGGAATATATCTTGCATGGACTTCAGTAGCAATGGCAAGTACCTGGTCACCTGTGCAGATGACCGCACTGTCCGAATCTGGAGCACCAAAGATTTCCTTCAGCGGGAGCACCGCAGCATGAGAGCCAATGTGGAGCTGGACCATGCCACCTTGGTGCGCTTCAGCCCTGACTGCAGGTGGGACAGGACAGAGCCTCAGGCTCGCCTGCAAAAGCCCAGCTCTTGACTTTGGCCTTCCCAAGTCCCGTTGGGGCTTAGTGAGGAGGGACTGAGAGTCTACCTTGAGATGACAGAGAGAGAGCATCCATATAGTATGGCCCCTCCTGTGGCCCTTGGAGGTTCTGCTCTGTAAGAAGGAAGCAGGGAGGGAAAATCATTCCTACCCTGAATTTTCCGAAATCTAGCTTTGCCGTGAATTTTGGAAGCTCTTATGACTTCCTACGCTCTAGAAATGAAAGGAACCAAAGCTATGAGGATCCTCTCCTCTTTGTAGTGTAGGACTAAACTCAGAATCTCACATGCTGGCAAGGCCTTACCACTGAGCTATACCCTCAGCCTGTCTTGCTTTTTGGGTTTTAGTTTGTTGGTTGTTTTGAGACAGGACACAGGGCCTTGCTATGTTGTTCTCACTAGGTAATGCAGCTTGGCCCTGAACTTGTGGTCTTTCTGCCTCAGTTTCCCCAGTGCTGGGATTCAGTGTGGCTTTGTGTGCCTTTGTTCAGGGAAACGCAAACAAATGTCTGTTTACCCTAGATAGGGCATCAACAACAAAACCAAAGAATGGTGGTACCATATATAGCTTGGCAAATCAGTGAGTTTATTGGAGTTGCTTATGGGAATATGGGTAAGAGGATGCTTAAAAGAACATGGTCAGGCCGGGCAGTGGTGGCTCATGCCTTTAATCAGAGCACTCGGGAGGCAGAAGCAGGTGGATCTCTGAATTCAAGGCCAGCCTGGGTCTACAGAATGAGTTCCAGGACAGCCAGGGCTACACAGAGAAACCCTCTCTTGAAAAACAAACAAACAAAAAGAACATGAACAACTCTTTGGGAGCCAGATCATAAAAGCCCACCCCAGCGTAGGTAATGACTCACAAAAGCTGTATTCTTGAAGCTGCATATTGAGCTTTAAGGCAGCTCCAGCACACAGTCTTCTGCCAGTCCTTGTTGACTAGTTCTATAACCTTGGGAAGGGACCTTATGAGTCTTGTGACTTTTCAGGGCTTTCTGTTCTCCTTAAGTCTCAAAGCCTCTTCTTTTTTTTTTTTTTTTTTTTTGTTTTGTTTTTTGTTTTTGTTTTGTTTTTCGAGACAGGGTTTCTCTGTGTAGTTTTAGAGCCTGTCCTGGAACTTACTCTGTAGACCAGGCTGGCCTCGAACTCACAGAGATCCGCCTGCCTCTGCCTCCTGAGTGCTGGGATTAAAGGCGTGCGCCACCACTGCCCAGCTTCAAAGGCTCTTCTATTTAGGGAGGGTATTTTCATGTTTAGTGCTAAGGATCAAACCCAGAGCCTACCACTGACATACATCTCTGTCCTTGAAATACTGTGTTTTGCTTTTTGTGCGTGTAGGCCAGAGGACAGCAGATGTTGAGTTTTTTTCTTTCTATATACGGGTTCCTGAGTATTCTTAAGTCACGTTAGCCTTGCCAAGCAAGTGTTTTTTAACCTGCTGAGCCATCTCATTGGCCCTCTGAATAGTTTTTATGAGATTTTGAGGGGCTGGAGTGAGATGGTTCAGGGGTTAAGAACACTGGTTGCTCTTACACAGGACTGGGGTGCACTTCCTAGCATGCATGTAGCTAGAGTTTTCCTGCCTGGCCCAGAGTCAGGACAAATCTCTCTCACCCGCCAGTCCCAAGCCGCTTAAACCCGATCAAATAAACACAGAGACTTATATTGGTTACAAACTGTATGGCCGTGGCAGGCTTCTTGCTAACTGTTCTTACAGCTTAAATTAATCCATTTCTATTAATCTATACCTTGCCACGTGGCTTGTGGCTTACCAGTACTTTACATCTTCCTTGTCCTGATGGCGGCTGGCAGTGTCTCTCTGACTCAGCCTTCCACTTCCCAGCTTTATTCTCCTCCTTGTCCCGCCTACACTTCCTGCCTAGCCAATGGCCAATCAGTATTTTATTTATTGACTAATCAGCAACACATTTGCCATACAGAACATCCCACAGCACTTCTCCCATTTTTTTTTTTTCAAAAAGGAAGGTTTTAACCTTAACAAAGTAAAATTACATGTAATTTGGGAATTTGGGCGTAGCTTCTCTTACTACTTCCTGCTGGAGGGGGGCACTGTATCTTATGGGGACATAAAGAAAATTTTAGGATTATGGAATAGTCCATGAGGGTGTATCGTCTGAGCCAGTTGCCTTGAAACCATTCCGGATGTTGGGTCATCTGGGCCATGGTGTCATCGGAGACCTTTCAGGGGGTCTTGGCTGGTCAAACCTGATGTATCTTAATCTGGAACAAATCCATAGCCTTTGGCTTTCTGTGGGAACAAAAGCAGAGACTCTTTTCCAAAGCAACATATCCTTATATCCAAATTTTGAAGTCAAGGTACCTTTAAAATATACATTTCGGCATAACTCAACAGCTTTTACAATCAAATGTTTTTCTGCAGTTAAAAATCCCAAAGACAACACAATCCAGATTCTCTGTGTAATATTCATCTTTACGTGGCTTGTTTTCTATATTAATTTTACTGTCTCTTTAAAGACTTTATTTTTTAAAACTATGTATTTGTTTATATAACTGTATATATCACCTTTTTTGTCTCTTTCAAGTCCCACAGCACATGCACTGTTATAACTCCAGTCTTAGGGGAGCCTATGTCCTCTTCTGGCCTCTAAGGGCACCAGGCATGTGGTGCACAAACATGCATACACACAAAGTTTAAAGCTAAAAAAAGTTTTTTTTTGAACCCAGAGATCTATAGTAAGACTATACCATAGGGCAAGAGGGGCAATCTTGATTTTCTGTGGGATCTAGAACACATAGGCCTCTGTCCAGGGAAGAAAATGACTTCTCTTTTGCTGTCTCTAGAGCCTTCATTGTTTGGCTGGCCAATGGGGACACCCTCCGTGTCTTTAAGATGGCCAAGCGAGAAGATGGGGGCTTTACCTTCACAGCCACCCCAGAGGACTTCCCTAAAAAGCACAAGGCGCCCATCGTCAACATCAGCATTGCTGACACAGGTAGGGAAGTCTAGTGGGTGGAGCTTACTCAAGGCATGAGAAAGTGCCTGAATCATAACTTGTTCTTGGTTTGTTCTGTTTTAAAGGTTTATTCATTTTTACTTTATGTGGTGGGTGTTTTACCTGAGTGTATGTCTGTGTACCACTTGCATGCAGTGCTCACAGAGGCCAGAAGAAGATGTGGGGTCCCCTGGGACTAGAGTTACAGCCAAGTGCAAGCTGCCATGTGGGTGCTGGGGATTGAACCCAGGTCCTTTGGAAGAACAGCCAACGCTCTTAACTGCTGAGCCATCTCTCCAGGCCCCCCACCCCCTGTTTTACAGTGTGTGTGTGTGTGTGTGTGTGTGTGTGTGTTATAGCACACATGTGGAGGTCAGAGGACAACCTGTAGAAGTTAGCTCAATCTTTTCAACACGTGGGAGTTGAATGCCAGTCATTAGGCTTGGTGACAAGTACCTCCTCCTGCATCTCGCCATCCCTCTGAGTTGTGTTTGTTGAAGGAGTTGATAGTGCCTGAGTTTTGCCTGGCATCATTGTGACCAAAGAGCTCTGGCCCTGTGCTTCCCTAGAGTCCGTAAGAGCCATACTTCTTAGAGTAGTTCCTCGTTGTTTCTTTGGGAGGTGACAGTTGCTCTGGTCATATCCCTGGCCTCACAACTTTCCTCTCCTCATCAGGGAAGTTCATCATGACAGCCTCTAGTGACACGACTATCCTCATCTGGAATCTGAAACGTCAGGTGCTATCCACGATCAATACCAACCAGATGAACAACACTTACGCTGTTATCTCCCCATGTAGCAGGTAAGGAAGAGAAAGAGGATAGGTAGAGAGCAGAGGTAGTTTTGAGAAATGGGGTGGGGACACCTGGATGTAAGCCCTAGCTCTCCAAAGCATGAAAGGATTTCCCACAAGCCCCCATCGTCCTTAGTGTCTGTTTCTTCACCTACAGTGTGTTTATTTTTGCAGTGCTGAGGATGGAAAGCAGAGCGTTGTGCACGTTAGGCAAACACCCAAGCACTGCACATCGGAAGCCCCTCATCATGGGCTTCATCCCACTTGTTTTGTTTTGAGTCCAGTGCTCACTGTATATCCCTGACTGGCCTGGAACTCACTGAGATCTGCCTGCCTCTGTTTCCTGACAGCTTGGATTAAAGGCTGTGCCACCATACCAGGCCTTTTAAAAATATTTGTTGGTTTGGTTTTATTTGTTCTGAGACAGGATCTCAGTGTGTAGACCTTGCCAGCCTGGAACTCACTATAAAAAACCAGGGTAGTCTCAAACTCACAAGAGATCTGCCTATTCTTGCCTCTTAAGCATTGGCATTAAAAGTATGCATCACCGGGGCTGGAGAGATGGCTTAGAGGTTAAGAACACTGGCTGTTCTTCCAGAGGTCCTGAGTTCAATTCCCAGCACCCACATGGTGGCTCACAACCATCTGTAATGAGATCTGCCTCCCTCTTCTGACCTGCAGGCAGAACACTCAGTATTTACATAGTAAGTAAATAAATCTTTAAAAAAAAAAAAGTTTGCATCACCACACCCAGTCTTATTATATTAATTTTAATTTTAGTTTGAGACAAGATCCTGGTAAGTTATCTATACTGCCTTCCTGTTTACTCTGTTAGCCCAGGAAGGCCTTGAACTAGAGATCCTCCTGCTTCAGCTTCCAGACTAACTGGGATTGAAGGGTCACACCTCCTTGCCTGACACGGAAACACTTTAAAAAGGTTCCTTAGAAGCAGGGCTGTAGCTGTAGATGACTTGCCTTGTGTTTATGAGACCCTAGATCCATGCCTAGCATCACCACAAGGTGCTGTTTCTCCAAAGAGAGATGGCTAAGAGCTGTTAGGACAAGATGTCTTTAACATTTGAATTTTAAGAGTGTGGGTTATGTGACAGGTTTGTGGGTTCCTGTGGCTTCACCCCAGATGTGAAGGTCTGGGAGGTCTGCTTCGGGAAGAAAGGGGAATTCCAGGAGGTGTTGCGAGCCTTTGAGCTGAAGGGCCACTCTGCTTCTGTCCACTCTTTCGCTTTCTCCAATGACTCTCGGAGGTGAGTACATCCGTGCATTTTCTTTCCTTTGTTTTTTTTGGTAGTTTGGTCTTAGTACAGATAGCCAAGGCTGGCCTTGAAGGCCTCATCCACCTCCCTCTCTCTTAAGTACTGAGATATAGGTGTGTGTACTTACCTGGCAATTTTTTACTTTGTCCTGTTTGTGTTTTTTGACACAGGGTCTCACCTGGTAGCCCAGACTGGCCTTGAACTCATATTGATCCTCCTGCCTTGCCTCAGCCCCCAGTGCTGAGATTATAGGTGTGAACCAGCAAGCTGGGCTGAGCAGTGGGCCTAGCTAGGCTACAGGTCTAGGCTGCCGGTCTGGGCTGCCGGTCTGAGAAGGGTGGAGGACTTGATTCCCAGCAGGCTGTTGACTTGGCTTCCTAGCTGCAGTCCCTTGGGCTGCTCCAGTGCCTTTCCAAGCCGGGGTTGTTGAGGCTCTAGCTGTGATTTCCCACATTACAGGATGGCCTCTGTCTCCAAGGATGGCACATGGAAGCTGTGGGACACAGATGTGGAATACAAGAAGCAGCAGGACCCCTACTTGCTAAGGACAGGCCGCTTTGAAGAGGCCAGCACCATGCCTTGCCGCCTGGCACTCTCCCCTGACACCCATGTCCTGGCCTTGGCCACTGGCACCAGTATTCATCTCTTCAACACGAGGCGTGGGGAGAAGGAGGAGTGCTTCGAGTCTGTCCACGGGGAGTGTATTACTGACTTGACTTTTGACATCACTGGTCGCTTCTTGGCCTCCTGTGGGGACCGTGCAGTGCGGCTTTTCCACAATACCCCAGGCCACCGGGCCATGGTGGAGGAGATGCAGGGCCTCCTGAAGCGGGCCTCCAGTGAGAGCACCCGTCAGAGGCTGCAGCAACAGCTGACCCAGGCCCAGGAGGTCCTAAAGAGCCTGGGGGCCCTGAAGAAGTGACTCTGGCCCTGGGTGGCTCTGCCTGCCCCAGTGGTTGCCACTCTTTCCCAGGTGCCCCTGGGGTGGAGACCTGGAGGAACCTCCCAATTTCCTTCCTGGTGGCCCCTGCTTTTTCCCATTGAAACTATACTTGCATACTTAGATCTATCTCTCTCTCTCTCTCTCTCTCTCTTCTTGTTTGACTCCTCCCAGACTGAAAGGTGCTGTTTTCTCACAGGCCCAAGGGTGGAATCTGTCTTCACCCAGCACTAAGAAGAGGGGTAGAGAGAAGTGAGACAGAGAGAGCAGAGTCTTTGACTGTGTGGCAAAAGACCCTGACACCCAAAGAAGTTTGTGAGTGTCGAGGTCAAACCTGGGGGACACCAGAGAACAAGGTGGCTGTTGTATAAGGAAGGGTGCAGAATGTGTTTTATAATGCTGCAAGGTGAGTCTCCACCTGGACCAGGCTCCTGTTTCCAGCAGGAAAGAATTCAGGACTGGTCTTTGTTGGCAGTGGTCTATAATCACAGCACTGTACAGGCAAAGGCGGGAGGATCAGGGGTTCAAGTCCAGCTTGGACTGCTTAGTGAATTGCAGGACCTCCTGGGCTCCATATGGAGAGAGAGCTTGACTAGAGTTTTTTTCTCTGCATTTCTTCAGTTTTCCTATTTGTAAAATGGGGAACGATGCTCTCTGTGGCCTGAAAAGATGTTGTGAGGCTAAGAGCATTCTAAAGTTCCCATGCATGGAACACAACAGTGCTGTCCAGTGTCATTAACTCTCAGATAAACTTGTAACTCTAACTTTGGTCTGCAACCAGATTAGAAAGAATCACAGCCCTCGGGAAGGCTGAGGCTCCTGGGGCTTGGCTTGCTCATTATCTTGGTTGAATATGGTGGTTTGGTTCCCGTGCCTTGAGAAGTAATGCCATCTTAACATGGCACTCCTCTCTGTGGGAGACCTCGTGGACTTATCACTTCAGTGCCTGTTACATGGGACTAGCTAGTGATGCGGGCTAACACACACAAACAAGACTGGCTCTGCTGCCGAAGACCCACGTTGGTGGGAAGGACCTGGAGGCTGGTGTCTGTGAAGTGCTTTTTGGTCATTCCCAGCTGCAGAGGATGGTGTGGACATGGGGAGGAAGTGGAATACACCCAGTGAGAGATTGGGTCTCAGCCATGTAAATTGGAAGACCGCTTGGATCCAAGGGATAGGGAAGATGTCAGGTCAGGAATCTGGGAGGGCTTGAATCTAGCAAAAAGTACCCATTTCGGTTAGTTTTGATCTCTCGCTTCAAAGGAGGGCCTCTTGCAGCCGTCCTCAGCGCTACAGAATGTTTGAATAAGGCACAACCCTGAAGTTGACCTTGATGGCTCCCTTGTCGGCACCCTCTCCTTCCGCCGCCACTGCTGCATCCAGATGGCCTGCAGCAGCCGCTGTCTCTCCGTCTCTTCTGTTACCATCCTGGTCTTCTCCACTGTCACCTACTCTAGGTAAGGTATTTGTTTCCAGCCACATGATTTCAAGTCACTTTCCTACATAGTTTAGCCAGCTTTTGAAAAACATAAAACAGATCAGATCGTGCCATTCCCAGTTACAAACCCTTCAAAGGCTTCCCTCTGTTCTTGGACTAATAAACCCCTGAGCTCGCTCTGGCCTGCATAGTGTACTGACGTTTTTCCCCTCCTGTGGTCTTTCTTTGCGATGGTGCAGCCCACCCCATTCTTCCTGTTTCTTTACTAACCCAAGCAGTCGACAGGCTCCAGGCACGGGCTGGCCCTGCTTGTGTGCTGCAAGCATTTTTCCTTTCTGTTGGCAGACTTGCCGGTGCGATCCGGTCCTTGGTGACTTTGACTCCAGGCAGTTGCCTCCTCAAACACTCCATCCGAAGTAGCCCTTTCCACCAATCCTGTCCTATTGGTGACATTGGTGCTTTTCTTTCTTTTGTATGACTTGGTGCTTTCTGAAACCATCTTGTTTGGCTATGTATTTGCTCCAGTGCCAGTGATGAGGGCAGTCGAGCGTGTAGCAAAAGGGGGCCTTGGGCAGTCACCTGATGGTGAGATGGAAAGAAATGGTAGAGACTGCAGTGGGCTGCTGGGCATGTGTCCTGGATGCACAGTGGTTGGTAGCCGCTACATGTTGTTTAAGAATTCCCCAAAGTTGCCAGTTTCGGAGAAGTTAGATGTTGGCATCTTACTTTGAAACGAGGCACCACTGTGAACTGGACCAAACACTGATGTAGGACTTTGCGGCTCATCAGTCTCATTGGCACTTAAGGATTGTTCCTTGCTTTTCATTTTGCAGTCCTGGGGATGGAACCCAGAGCTTTCTGCAGGGTAGACAATTGCTCTGCTGCTGAGCCATGCCCCAGGCCTCATTAGGAGATGCTAGACAATGACTCTCCTGCTCAGCCCCAGCTCCAGCCCTCACTATTAGATGCTAGACAATGACTCCTGTTCAGCCACAGCCCCAGCCCCTCACTGGAAGATTCTAGGCAAAGGCTCTCCAGCTCAGCCACAGCCACAGTCCTTACTAGGCAATGCTAGACAATGACTCTCCTGCTCAGCCACAGCCCCAGCCCCTCAGTGGGGGATTCTAGGCAAAGGCTTTCCCGCTCAGCCACAGCCTCAGCCCCTCAATGGGGGATTCTAGGCAAAGGCTCTCCAGCTCAGCCCCAGCCCCTCAATGGGGGATTCTAGGCAAAGGCTCTCCTGCTCAGCCCCAGCCCCAGCCCCTCAATGGGGGATTCTAGGCAAAGGCTCTCCAGCTCAGCCCCAGCCCCAGCCCTCACTGGGCAAATAAATGCTCTGCACTGGGCCTCCAGCACTAGTGTGTGAATTGCTGAAGAATGCATTGGAACATGAGCTTCACAAAGGCAGAATTCTTGATGCCTTGTTCTGGGTCCCAAGTCAAATAGCTGGGACAGAGTAAGCTCTCAATAAATAGAACTCAGACTAGAAGTAATTGACAAAAAAATTGAATTTCTTTTGTTTTTCTGCACTCGGCTCTCCACTGTGGATTGAGGTTTCTGATGAGATCAGCCATATTGAGGGCAGTATGGCCACATAGAGATTTGGGTTTCTGGATATACAGCTCTGCCTTATGCTGTGTGTGCATGTGGGGTCTGGTGCACGTCTACTTTGGTTGTCAGAAGCAGCTGGAAAGGCTTTCACTTGCTTTTGAATGTGGGCTTTGAGAAGTAACTGGTGTCACGGCTGCAGAGGGAAGGTAGGGAACCCAAGAATGCTGAGCCACTGAAGTCAGAAGTCTGTTCTGAAATCAGCCACGTCACTCACCTGGGGCTTGGAGTGGGGTGATCACATAGGCTGTCTTGAGCTTGTCTCCTCGTCTGTAAAATGGGAATAAATGCTGTCCTGTCTACCTTGCTGTGTTGATTCTTTGTGTGTGCGTGTTTGTTTACACTGGGGATTAGACATGTGGTCTTGCCCCAACCCCATTTTTTTGTGTGTTTGTTTGAGACAGGGTCTCACTTTGTAACCTTGGCTGGCCTGGAATTCATAGAAATCCACCTGCCTCTGCTTCCTGGGTACTGGGATTCAAGGCATGTGCTACTACACAGCTCTTTTTACCTTTCTTTTGAGCTAGTATCTCATTAAATACTTTGCCTTTGAACTTGAGATAGCTGAGCTTGACCCTCTTGAGTAGCAGAGCTGCATCTTCATGCCTGGTAGCTGCTATTTCCTACTAGTGAGAGCCTTACAAAAGGTCATTGCATAGACTTCCCAAGGTTAGAACAGTGCTGTTCATGCCCTAGGAAGTGTCTGGCTATTAACAGAGACTGCCAAGTTTTTATGGTCCTCAAGGGTGGAGGCAGCATTGATAAATACTGATTTTACACAGCGTGGGACGGCGCATGCTTGTAACCCAGTACTTATCTAGTTGAAGTTGAAGAATCATGAGTCTGCCCTGTGCTACATAGACTCCAAAACACAAAATTTAATACTACTTCTGAAGGTTTTTAATTTTGCAAAACAAAAAGGTGTGGTACTTACCTTATAACCCTATCACTCAGGAAGCTGAGGCAGCAGGACAGCAAGTTTGGGACCAGAGAGATGGTTCAGTGGATAAATGATCTTGCTACCCAAGCCTGTATCCTGAGTTCAATCCCAGGTTCCACATGAAGGCGTAAAGAGCAGTGACTCCCTGTTTACTGCATGTATCATGCATATACACTATAAATTTTTAAAAACTTAAAAGGCTGGAGAGATGGCTAAGTGGTTAAGAGCACTGGCTGCTCTTCCAGGGGGCCCAGGTTCAATTCCCAGCACCCACAATTGTGGTGATATGTTGTGTGCCCTAATAAACTTGCCTGAGGATTAGAGGACAGAGTCAGCCACTAGATTAGACATAGAGGTCAGGCAGTGGTGGTACACAACTTTAATCCCAGTGCTGGGAAGCACACGCCTTTAATCCCAGGAAGTGATGTCTGGGCAGAGAAAGGTATATAAGGTGTGAGGAAACAGGAACTCACTCTCATTAGGCTGAGGATTTTGTAGCGGTAAGCTAGTGGCTGGCTGTTCTGCTTCTCTGATCTTTCAGCTTTTGTCCTGATATCTGACTATGGGTTTTTTATTAAAAGACCATCTTAGATTTGAACAACACATAATGGTGGCTCACAACTGTAACTCCAGTCCCAGGGGAGCTGATGTCCTTCTGGCTTCCACAGGCGTGCATTCAGGTAAAACACCCATACACAAAAATGACATATTTATGTATATGAGTCATCTATCTGCATGTATGACTATATGCTAGGAGAGGTTATCAGATTCCACTGTAGATGGTTGTGAGCTACCAGGTGGGTGCTGGGAATTGAACTCAGGTCCTCTGGAAGAGCATCCAGTGCTCTCAACTGCTGAGCCATCTCTCCAGCCCCCCATTTTTTTTTTTTTAATTAAAAGAAAAAAATGACGGGCTGGAGAGTTGGCTCAGTAGCTAAGAGGACTTGCTGCTCTTTAGTGGACCTAGTGGATTCCCAACACCCTCTTCTGACCTAGGCAGACATCAGGCACTCACATGGTGCATGTACATACATGCAGGCAAAACATAAAACAATAAAATAATTTTTAAAGACAGGAAAGAGAAATAACAATGTATAACCTGTTTTTACCAATCACTTAAAATTGAAGAAAACTTGGAAAAGTACATAGAAAAGCCTGTTGATTCTTGATGATATGTCCAGGTAAGGAAAGTATTCATGTAAAAAATTACTCTAGCCACTGTGGTGGTGCATGCCTATAATCCTAGCACTTGGGAGGCAGAAGCAGGAGGATCATTTCAAGACTTGTGTGGTGGGTATATAGCCAGGTCCAAGTCATCCATGGCTTTTATCAAAAAAAAAAAAAAAAAAAGAAGCCAGGCATGGTGGTGCTTGCCCTTAATCCCAGGCCTCGGGAGAGGTAGAGGCAGATGGATCTCTGTGTGTTCAACACCAGTCTGGTCTACAGAGTGAGTTTAAGGCCAGCCAGAGCTATTCAGCGATACCCTGTCTCAAGGAAAACAAAAATGGCTAATGATAGATGGCGTAGTAGGTAAAAGTGCCTGCTGTTGCCGGGCGGTGGTGGCGCACGCCTTTAGTCCCAGCATTCGGGAGGCAGAGGCAGGCGGATCTCTGTGAGTTCGAGGCCAGCCTGGTGCCTGCTGCCATGCCTGACAACTCACTTCGATTCTGTCCCCACTGACTCCTGCAAGTTCTCCTCCGACTTCCACTTGTGCTATGCTATGTGTACATATACACAACAATTTTTTGGTTTTTCGAGACAGGGTTTCTCTGTGTAGCTTTTGGAGCCTATCCTGGATCTCACTCTGTAGCCCAGGCTGGCTTTGAACTCAGAGATTCACCTGCCTCTGCCTCCCAAGTGCTGGGATTAAAGGTGTGCGCCACCACTGCCTGGCACAACCATTTTTTTAGTGCTTAAAAAAAGGGAAAAAAAAAAAACAAGCTGGGCGGTGGTAGCGCATTCCCTTAATCCCAGCACTTGGGAGGCAGCAGCAAGTGGATTTCTGTGAGTCCGAGGCCAGCCTGGTCTACAAAGTGAGTTCTAGGACAGCCAGGGCTGTTATACAGAGAAACTCTGTCTCAGAAAAAAACAAAAACGAAAAAACAAACTCCTGGGAGATAGCTCAATCAGTATAGCACCTAAAGAACCTGAGTTAAATCCTAAAAGCCCACATAAAAAACCTGGAGAAGCCGGGCATGGTGGTGCACGCCTTTAAATCCCAGGATTTGGGAGGCAGAGGCAGGGGGATCTATGAGTTCGAGGCCAGCCTGGTCTACAAAGCAAGTTCCAGGACAGCAAGGGCTACACAGAGAAACCCTGTCTCCAAAAGCCAAAACAACAAAAAAGAAAGCTAGAGGTGGTGATGCATGCTTATAATCCCAGAGATAGGAGTATCCCTGGGTCTCGCTGGCCAGCCAGTGTCGCCCAGTCAGCAAGCTCCAGGCCAACAAGAGTTCCCTGACACCAGAAACATCTGGCCTTCACACCCAAACATACAGACACACACGGGTATGTACACAGAGTTGTTACATTCAAAATGTTTTGTTTTAAAGATTATTGTAGCCACACATACTGGTGCACACGGGCAGTCTCAGCACTGAAGTAACTGAGGTAGGTCACTTGAGTCCACAAGTTCAAGAGTAGCCTGGCCTGATCAACACAAACCCCATCTCTTACTTTAGAGACAACAGATACAAAGTCTCTGTTTTATGATTGGGGAGCAACTTTCTTTGTGCTGGATCAACCCAACCTTGTCTCCACTTGTCCCAATATCTAGAAACTTAATCTGGAGACTCGGGTCTTCTGTAAGTTACAGAAACAGGTCTTCCTTAGCTTGCTTTTGGGGCCTACCTTTTGGGACTGAGGGTCATGGAACAGAACTGGTATAATCTGCAGCTGCAATTATCACAAACGTGCCTGTCTTGTGATGTTGGGCCTGTCCTCAAAGTCTTCCTCTGCCCTTCATCTTACACAGGCTGTTTCCGGAGTTCAGGGCAGTTTAGGCTTGGGAAGTAAGTATGGTTTCTACTTGCCTTTTGGTATACAAGTAGCTGCTGCTGCTGCTGCGTGCAGTTCTTGTGGTTTTATTTAAGCACAAATAAATCATACATGTGAGTGAGCCATCTATCCATTTTCTTCAGTCTGGCCTGGGCGTTGGTGACTCTGATGGTGCTCTTTCCAAGATGGCTTGCAGTTCTTGGAAGCACAAACATGTACATGTACGCATACACGCACGTGCCTGCACACACACACACACACACACACACACTCACGCTCATATATGAAGTATCTATTGTGTGCTCCTGAAGGGCTAATACAAGTGCACCACATAAGAATGGCCAATATAGCCAGGCGGTGGTGGCGCACTCCGGAGGCAGAGGCAGGCAGATCTCTGTGAGTTCAAGGCCAGCCTGGTTCTACAGAGGGAGTTCCAGGACAATCGGGGCTGTTACACAGAAAAACCCTGTCAGGAAAACAACAAAATAATGTTAAAGAATGGCCAGTATGAGGGCACGCTGAAAGGAAGAAAAGACGGGCGGGTGAGACAGCTCCACGGATAAAAGGCACTTGCCTTTTTCTTGTTATGTTTGAAGCACTCAGCATAGGAAGAGTGACTGTACACCAGGAGCAGGAACTGCTCCTTGATGCTGTGGACCAGAAATTTCTGGAAGTCACCGGGCAGCGTGTGCTTGGTGTTCTTGCTCCCCTAACCAGTGCTGGACCTCAGGATCTGTTGTCAGATAATTATGGGTATCCGCCAGTTGCACTTGACTTTGACACAATGGTCTGACTGGTGCAGGATGAACTTCTTGGTCCTCTTGGATGACTCTGTTTGACCAGATGCCAGAGGGCAGCCGTGATGCTTGAAAAGAGATGGCAGCCACCTCACTGGCATCTCGGAAGAAGAAGGCATATCTGCTTTTTAAATTTTTGGGTTACTTGTTTTGGTTTTCTGAGACAGTGTTTCTCTGTGTAGCCCTGGCTGTATGGGAACTTGCTCTGTAGACCAGGCTGTCCTCAAACTCGGAGATCCGTCTGCCTCTACAAGTGCTGGAATTAAAGGCTTGTGCTGACACTGGGTTATTCGTGTTTTTTTTTTTTTTTTATTAATTTATTTTGCAATACAATTCAGTTCTACATATCAGCCACGGATTCCCTTGTTCTCCCCCCCTCCCGTTATTCGTGTTTTAAGACAGTATTTCACTATGTAGCCCTCGCTGGCCTTAAACTTGGAGATCTGTCTCCTCCATCTTCTAAGTGCTGACATTAAAGGCATGTGCCACCACACCTAGCCAAAATTTGTAGTTTTATGGCAGGGCCTTGCTGTGTAGCTCTGGCAGCCTTGAACTGCCTCAGTTTCCCA